ATTAAATTCTAGTAGTTACGATATTCATCAATGGAGCACTTATTTGTCGGTGGCTGAATTTAATGTGTTCTCATTCCAACAATTACCTGAGCCTCGTTGTCTCTTGACACCATTCAAATCGAGATTATTGATTGTAGAAAGATACCACAATCCCTTGTTGGGAAATAAAAATTGGTGAGAGGAAAATCAATATATCAAATTTTTATCTAGATAACTGAATGTTCTAAGAAATGGATCCTTTACTTCCAATCAGCGAGCATTCCCAGATTTTAAAACTCAAAGCCTGTTTAGAAACAACCAAAATCAATTATATAAAAAATAATAATTTTACTTTTCTCATGTTATCTACCCTTCATTTTTGACATTCAAATTGCTCCCTATTCTCGAGTAACAAAAAGCTCTTGAGTAGCAAAGCGCTAGCTGAGGGACAACAATGAGAAAAGAGGTTACACAAAAAGAAAAGAGGATATAACAAAATAAAGAGATTGAGATTCTAAATGAAAAAACACTCCTATGATCGCAATTATGTGAGGATGAGATAACACAAAAACTCGTCCTTTGTACGAATTGCATACTACAACTTTCTTACATGAAGTCGAGATCGTCGAAAAAACATGAGGCGGTGAATTGTTTTCGAGCCTTGTAGTGTCCGTCGCACTATAAGAACCGACAAGAAGGGAGATATCGAACTAGAAGGTGAAGCTATAGAAAAATGACATTCAGGAAAAATGAAATAAAAAAATCAAGAAATAATACTATTTTTAGTGAGTCTTCAAAATAATACTTCCTAGGAAAATAAGAAATTTCTCTATATAGAAAACTAGTTAGATGCACGTGTAAGACACGTGTTATAGTATAGTTGATTGTGTAATAGTGTAGAAAAAGATTATTTGTGTTAAGTAGTTACACCAAACTTTAAGCACCTGAAATCACCAGAGATTGAAAAGGGAATTATATTTAACTTTATATTCTTTTCAAAACCAAATCTAAAACTTCTTATTTGTTTTGCCGCGTAAACTAAAGTTTGTCATTATAACATATACAAGAGAGAAAATTAACAACGTTACTGGAGAAGAGTAGTTCAAGTTTTTGGGTCTAAGAGTATCATAAAATTTTCAAATCTTCATGCGAATTCAACTGGTGCAAGAATAAGATAACCAGAACATTTGAATACCAGAGGACTTTTCATTGAATTATGAATTCACATGGCTTGGGGGTATATGCCTGCCACTTAGAAGATTTAGCAGCATGGTTATAAAGCTGTAAAGTACACTTTCTGGAGTCAGTCTTCTTGCCAAACATTGAAGAGAAATTACCAAAAGTTAAACTTAAATAAGTGCATATATAATATCATTTCTTATTTGTACAAAGTAGCTTATTGCATTACTTAATAGTTAATACAGTAGTTCAAGAAGAACACTAATTGTCCAAATGTGCCATATACGCAAATTACACGTGTAATGTGTCGAGCATCTTCCTAATCTTGATATCCAACTTCACCTGTATTGAGAGATTGATAGGGCAATATAGAGCCACCATCAACCTTATTTCTCATTCCATGGGCTGCTTCTCTATACCAATATAACCACTAAAATATATTAGAAC